TTCAAACACTGCGACATGCAGTTTTTCAGAAAGGCAGAATAGTGTGGTGCAGGTCTTGAAAATTATTCTATAGGCGTACGCAGCCAGGAAGATCACTAGAATGAAACGGAATATTTAGTGGAACTATTACGAGACTATCACGAGAATTTCAGGAGTTTGCAACAACCGATTCCGTGTTATTCAATAGATCCCGATCTCAGAACTGATTTTGCATGCTGTAGCGCTTGCCACTCACACCAATAATACTTTATCCTGAGTAATTGTATCTCACTGGACATTTTTGGTTCATGGAGGCTTGTTTGCTTTGCCTTACAAGGTCAACCTGAATGCACAAAAGAGAACAAAGGGCAAGGAAAAACCTTAAGGAAAGGGGACTCCTATAAAGGAGGAATCAGAATCCCAGAGAGAGGCCAACCCCGAAAAAGTTGGACTAAAGAGTCTTATTCATAGGTTTGAATTGCCAAAAATAGGACTGCAAAGGTTACTGAAAGACAATAATATACTCCAGAGAGCTATCGCGAACCAAAATCTAGTAATCCCTGGAATCCCCAAGCCAATCATGCAACAGAAAAAACACAGGGAACACCATATAAAAGGGTATTTTACCACACTCCTCATGATGAAAATCCTTGAGCATTTGTTGGTTAGGCGAATCCGTAGATTAGTAATGCGGAACCGAGGGGAGCCACAGGCCGCTGATCACCTTGGCAGAATTTAATAATCTAAGACACCGAGACCATCTATTATACTCGGTAGGATCTTCCACAAGCATATCAGATCTCCCCTGAGGCACCGATACACAAATGGGAACAGATCGGTTGCCTGTAGATGACCTTAATAGCCGACCCCGCGTGGTCCAACAACGAGTCTAGCAGCAACATGTTTTACACGTTCCAACTTAATCAATTTACCGGCCGTGTAGACGTTACCATCCTCAAGGCTTGGTCTGACGTTTGAAAGCGTCAATCTTGAGCAGAACGAAAGAACGTTGAATGAATCCCGGGATGCTTCACGCATTGGCACAGACCATTTCGATGTTTTCTCGGGTCTTCAGTGATGAAATGACCATAACTCCTAGATCACTTTCATATGATTTTCTGTCCAATACGATTCCTTGGAAGCTGTAGACCACCTCTCGATGGGGTGGAGAGAATTCGTGCACAAGATGACGAATTCAGTGACTAACCAACTCCTAGGATTCATCCGCATTCTCAGGGCTATCTGAATCCCAATCCATGAGCTTTGCAACTTGATGCATGTCCGGAGAAGATGAGCGCTCCACATTCTGTCCGTCTTGTGGTCTTTCCATATGAGATACGCCACGCCTCCAGTGTATTCGCAGAACGGAGCAATCACTAAATTCACTTGATATAAGAAGGCCAATATTGATCACATCTGACTGCCTCGGCGAGAGCACCAAGTAAAGAATGGATTTCTTCTCATCAACCTTCCGGGTGGGTGCATGGATATGCTGAGTAAACGCGGGAGCCTGAACAGCAGAATGAAACTCTGGAAAAAAAATCCGCGTGATGAGAGTAGATTTCAGTTCCCCAGTCAACACGTGGCGCATTTAAATCACTCAAGACAGGACAACACTCATCGCAGGCGTGCCTCTGTATGCTGGCCAATACCTCTGGGACGTTCAGGGCCGGTGTTTGGTTGATCACTCCTACTCTGGTGCATCCTCCGGCACAAAGCTTGATTCTGCACCTCCAAATCCTTCATACGGGAGTGATTTTCTAGCAATCGAACAGAGATGCCCACACGGACGTAAAGGACAACTCCATCACGATGCCGTAACAATGACCGATCCGCTCGGAGCCATGTGTAACCGTCCAGTGATATTGGGGATTCCCAAAAATCCGGTTTCACCAGGCCTCAACGATTGCAAAGATATAAGGTTCATTTGATATATCTCAGTCTTCCAGATGATCTCTTTGGTCTATCCCCCGGCAACCCTTCGGCTGTTAGTTAAGGCTAGCAGAGCTTGGTTACTTCGCAAGCCACGCCATAACGTGATTCCCTCGTACACTGTCAAACGATCTCCTGCGTCATCCCACGGTCAAGACTAGCCTAAGCAGCTGAGTGAACTTTCGANAAAGTCCTATACGCAAAAATCAGTTTTCCCCGTTGCACAGCGCTGTCTGAGTTTCCTGCGCTTGTCCGGACCAATATCCCGGAGAAACCTTACCGAAGCCAACTTTAGCTTGTAGCTCCACCGGTGTATAACTTTGGACTTTTCCTCTGCCTGAAGAACCACTTTCACTGGCCGCGGTGAGTTGTCCTGAAGAGCTTTTCCAAGACGGAATGATACTTTCAATCGGATTGATGCTGCGGTTTCGAACTCATCACCTGCAAACAAAGTCAATATATGCTACCGCAGCAGCCTCAGGTGATATTGTAAAAGTCAAAAGAACTGAAAACGTTTCTCAATTACCTTGCATTTCCTTATCTTTCTTCGCCATTCTATCGTACATTCTTTCTGACAGTGGTTTTCATGTGTGGTGAATTTTCTATTCCAAACCTTCTATTTCATATTTTAGGGTAAAGCTTATCTATTGGACACACGCTTCAAGTGCTTTGCTCTTATATGTAAATGGGATTCAGTATTTTTCTTGTTTTATTGCGAGAAAAGTTTTGATTGGACGCTCTGGTTGGACTAACCATTGCTTTGGGTTATATTGAACCCCTTTTGGCTGTAACGCTCAAGATTGTTTTGCTTGAGTTGTTGAGGCATGCAGATTTTTCCTATTGGTCCACAATTATCTGAAAGGTCATTCAAATCACTCATTTTCTTATTTACGTTTTATTACCGCAGATATTTTTTGTGAATATTTTGGCTGGATAGTGAATCAGGCTCACTATCAGAGGTATGACTGCCTTATGTATTTGTGAATAAAGCAAAAAATAGTACCGTAGATTATTTTTGGATCGACTTGATTCTCGATAATTTGGGCTACACGTTGCTGTGAGATTTTTTTATCACTATCCAGAACGAGCGAAGGGTCATTTGATCGAACGCATACAGATTAGATCTTTTTCGTTTTGCTCGGACCAGGACAATTGCGTTTTGGTCGTTACAGTACTCTGATATGCCCGTCACTCAGAGACTGAATGTGACGAATAAGGACGTTGATGACGAACAACGGGGATCAAGCCACAACACCGGAGAATCTTGGCAAGTTTCTTTGCATAGTTGTCTTGTTCATGACTCCAGGGTTAGTGGGTCTAGTCGGCTGAGCAATAAATCAACGCTTAGCATGTCGCTGATTGAAATGAAGGAAGGCCATCTGCAAGAAAAAATGGAGCAGCAGATGAAAGAACTCCAAGAAAGGCACAGAAGCGAACTGCTAGCAGTACGACAAGAATTGGAGATTGCAAGGCTCGCAGGGAAAATGAAGGATGAGTTATCTATCCGCTCTATAGTGAGTGAAGACGAAAAAGATCGAGTGATGCAGTTTGTTGAAAACCATCCAGTATGGAACGCTAGGGAGGCGGGTGATCCTTTTTTTACCAGAACAGCAGGATTGGGTGAGCTAGAGAGAGAGCACAAGACGACGTTCACGTCAGGCCAAATTGATGCAAATCTAGACCTACCCCAAGTAGAGCTTCTATCTTTCGATAGGTAATTCACAATGTACTGAAGGTTCATTCGTTAATTTCAAATATACGTTGCCTCCAAGACCAATGACCATGGACAACGCTTTTTATATTTGCTTCATTACTGTAAGGGGAAGGTTAGGAGCACAATTAAAGATTGCATCATGTTGCCACCCACAATTGGGTACGATAGGGTATGTACGATTCTCAAAGATCTATTTGGGCGCTCACACGAGGTAGCACGCTCACTTTTAGATGGATTGTCGGAGGGTCTCAAAATAAATGACATGGACGCTGATGTGTTTTCATGTCTATATATTCGAATGGAAAGCTGTTTGATCGCCCTGGATTAAATTGGTTACACGGCTGATCTTAATTCGCTTAGGACGTTGGAACAAATAGTTAAAGAGTTGCCGTATTCTCCGTAACATAGTTGGGCGGAGACCGTGGATCGGATTGCCCAAAACGACGGGGAGCCAAATTTTAGCGAATTTACAGAATTCATATCTGTAATGGCTAGAGTAGCAAGGAGTCGCTTTGGGCAACTTGCTAACCGAAGCAGGAGAAATAATAGACCCGTCCAGTCTGTACAACTATCGAGCAGGCGTCAAACTCCATGAAACTATAGTTTAAATTTGGTCAAGAATAATAACGATCTATGAACACAACGATATGTGATTTTTGCTGAAAACCATCTGGTTTCATCATGTTTGAGTCTTTCGGAGTTAAATAACCAGGAAAGATTGGACAAGGCACGAATATACGGTTTGTTTTGT